ACGGTTTAGTCCCCCTCACCAGGAGGGTGAGGGAGAACTGGGGTTGGACTCAAAATGACTGACCCAGGTGCTAGTACAAAAAAGGTGGTTTAATGGGATAAAAACAAAGTGACAACAGGCTCCATAATACATACAAGGGAAGGGCAGTGATGACTCAGGAGACCAGGACGGTAAACACACAAACTAACGACAGGAACTAGAATAGTTTGTAAACTTACTTTGCGTATGGTACGTTACACGTCGCAATGCTCCGGCGGCGACAGGTCGTCTGCCAGAGGTATAAATAAGGAAGCCAACAAATCACCGGAATACGCCTCAGGTGTGCGCACCGACCCACGAGTCACTAATTACCCGATGCGACACAGCTGAGGCGTTGATCCCGCAAAAAGGGGAGGAAATAAAGAAAGAGAGGCAGGTCGCACCGAGCGGACCTGACAGCTGTTATGACTGATACTGACTGAGGCATGCAGTTTCATTTATACACTTTACTTACAGCAGGGCACCATAATTAATTCACATAGATGTTTAAAAATGCTGCTGTTGGGGAAAAACATGTAACCCTGACATGCTTTACAATCCTGATAACCCTTTATTTATTAACAGTATTGCCACCACAGCTGCCGGTGCTTGTTATCCAACCTCAGCACTTTCTTGGAATCAACTGAAAAATGTTCTTATCACTTAGTATCTAAAATGTTCATATAGAGAAAGCTAGCAGCAAACTTCTGGTCAGATTCATAAGCTTGTTTACACATTTTTTGATGAGAAAATTACTTAAATAAATCAACTTAATTATTAATTATTGTCTGTTGTAGACTATATTATTAAAGATTAATTATTGTACAGTAGAAAATGTTTATATTTGTCAAATAAAGGGTTTAAAATATTGTTGATAAAACTATTATTTAGGCTAAATTATTTTGGTATTAGTACTGGTTGTGGTGCCAAAACTTGGGTGTGATACAGTAGGCAGAGTATTTTATTAACCCCAAGGTCACACTGCAGTGTTGCAGCAAAATAAACTTGATTGAAAATTATTTTCAGCCTTGAATGCTGCACAAATAGTTCTTCACATTGTGCCGACTGAACTGGTGACTTTGTGTGGAGAGTGAGCACATCTGGTCTGTGGCTGTCTCTCTCTCTCTCCATCTCTCCTCCCAAGACCTGTTTCACTGTTTGTCTTTCATCTCCTATCTCCTTTTCAACTGACACTCAGTTTTTCCCCCCACCATCAACTCTGAAACCACATCTCTCCACCTCTCCCTCTCCCATTTCCTTTCCTCCCTCTCGCTGAGTGTGGCTGTTATCCCTCCACTGTTGCAGGTGAGGCCATAAAACAGCAGGAGAATCCAGCGGTGGCCCAAGAGACGTGTGCGATTAATCATTAACACAGATATCTGAGGGGCTCCTGTCCAAACTGTGCACACATACAGTACAGACACAAAGTCGGTCATTAATCTCATCTATATTGCTACAGTGTGTTAAACAGTAACATCTCCGACCCTTGACCTCTGCTGTGTCTGCTGCTCTTTTTCTCTCTTCCTCACTCACACCCATAAGTCATCATGTCACCTTCGAGACCGAAAGCGCTCATTTGTCTCTGGACTCTTTTTACACAAATACAGTGCATGTACTTTTCAGTGATTTACAACTGCCAGCTGATATTTGAGAGTGTAAGGTGTGTGCCGCAAACATACCAGGAGTGCTTTCAGTTCAGATCCGTTACCTCAACCTTTCTCCCTCTTTCCATGCTCAGGCCTTTCTCGCTCTATTGTAACCTACCAAAAATTATTCAATACAGTGAGCAGTCAGATTCAGTTCTTAAGTAAATCCAGTAAACGTTTTGCATTCAATTTGTGTAAAGTACGCATATACTATTAGAGTATTACAAGAAAAGTATATGTTAAATATAAAACATTACTATCAAAGTATTCCTTATGCAGAATGTCCTTTGTCAGTGTTATATTTATATATTATTGAACTATACTGATGCATTAACGTCAACAACATTTAAGTGTTATAGCTATTCAAGGTGGCGCTAATTTTATCTGCTTTATATACTATTAATCCATGAATCATACATCAACTGACCTTATGCTTGGTGTATAAACTACAGTAATGCAAAATGGTCAAATAAATCTGGAGCAAAAACTACTGCATTTTCCCAAATTAAATAAAATGTCACATACAGTGGAATGCAAATAAACCAGTACTCGATTAAGTGTCTTTATTTACTTTCTGTCACTGAAGAGAGTAAATTATAACTTTGTTCCAATTGTCTTTGACTTCAATCACACTTTTTCTGTAACGCAAAAAATAAGATTTATGAGGATATGTAAAATAAGCTTGTCAAAAATCGAGAACATCTGTGCACACTATCAGATAAATAGCACACTGAGTGCAGGGTATACGTAAACTATAAAGAAAAGTACAGCCTCAGGTGTCATTTTGTAGTTGCAAAGGGGGGATATAAAATATATGATGGAAATGTTTTTTTTGTGTTTAAAAGTATGTCTAAGAGGGAACTATTTCAGCCTCGCTGTCGGGAGTGGGGGGATTTGTGCTGTCTTTTAGGCTCTCTTTTGGACCTGTATATTACAGTTGCATTTATTTCACAGAGATGTCCCACATGCTCCCTATTAAAATACATCTAACGTCTAATACAATTTGCCTATCTGATAGTGGTGATTTTACTGGCTGTGTTGACCACTTCTGGGTATGGAAGTTTTAGCCTTAGAGGAAAGAAGAGTAAGTCAGGGAGAGCAGAGGAAGAAGGAGAGGAGAGGTACTGAGACGAGGCAAGGAAGGAGAGGCAGCACACAGAGAAGAGAAGAGAAGAGGACTTACTATGTGAAGACAGAAGACAAAAAGAACAGTGGATTACAGAAAAGGATGGAAGGGGGAAAGAAAAAGTGGATGAGAGGATTGGACGTAAAAATTAAACACGTCTGTAAGTGATCAAAGTGGCAGCAATGGAGGAGAGCAGGGAGCACAGAGTGGACTGGGCTTGGATGCAAGATGAACTGAGCCTGAGGGGTGTTTAGAAAAAAGCAGTGCACTGGTTTGTGTATGTGTGTTCTTGTACTTGCTACATAGTGAGGACCAAAAAAGTATTTCTGGCTACAGAGTGAGGACATTTTTGGAACGTGAGGACATTTTGGCTGGTCCTTACTTTGTGGAACACCTTTTTGAGGGTTAAGATTTGGTTTTTGGTTCAGGTTAGAGTTAGGTTTATGTTAGGTGTTAGGCATTTTGTATGATGTTAAGGTTAGGGGCTAGGGAATGCATTAGGTCAATTAGTGTCCTCACATAGTGGCACAAGCGTGTTTGTGTGTGAAAGAGAGCCATTTTCGGGAAATTTTGACAACCTTAAACTCTGAGCAGCACGTGGCCATAAATGAAACCCATGAGAGATCCTTGAAGAAACACATCACACTTTAGGATCTAGTTACCACAGTGTGTGCGTTATATTATCTCTGGGTCTCCTGATACCCAGACTTCTTGAGGAATGCATCATTAACAGGCAGTGGAGAAAGAGGAGCTTAAAGTAAAATTCAAAATTGGGCGTTAACAATCGCTGCAATAACTTATAGTTTGCCTTGCTCCTTAATGGAGAACTAAGGCTGTGGTGGCTTGGATTAGCAGCAGTTTTAGTGGATTGTAATGTCACAGGATTTCACATCAGAACTGCCATAAAAACCTAAAAGGTGACACACGCATGTCATGATTGCTGTCCATCTGTTTGGTGAATGTGTTCCAGTCAGTCATATTTTTGCGGAAGAGCAGGAAATGAGCAGTCTAACATAGAGTGACCGCTTATGATGGCTGAAGGGAAACACACAAGAGTAGCATATATGGCATGTTAATACGGCCACTCCCACACAAACGGCATATGAACAAAGTGCCATGCATCAAGATGAGATTACCTCTTCTGGAAAGCAGCAATGTTCTCACATTCGCTCTCTGCACTACTCTGGTTTCTACCTGTATGTGGCCATCAGTTGATGCATGTCAAATAATGCAATGGTTTTTTTTTTTTTTACTTATAGTGATCATTTTAACATCATTCACAAACAATTAACTAATCACACATATATAAAATTGTTACATTAATTTCTACAAGGTTACAAGTACACCAGTAGTGGGGGG